GGCCAGGTACAAGTATCAACCAAGGAAATTTCTCTTTTGTTTTGGTTAGCATGATGGTATGGAACACCATCGCATGCCACAGATATCCATTTACGGATTTCTTCTTTAATCCTTGAAATTTTTTCAATGTGAAGAAGAATTTTTTCAACGCTCGCTATTGAATTAGGATTAACATTTAAAGGATCAGGTGTGTAAATATCAGGAACTTTAACACCCGAATCAGCAACTGGTTGCTTGTAATACTGATTCTGGAAGTAGAAGAAGCTCTTGGTTCACTTTCAAAATTATGCGATTTAAAGATGAGAGGCTTTTCATAATTATCTGATGTGTTAACTTCCTCAATTATATTTTGCTTTCGCAATTCCTCCAGTATAGGTAATTTAACATTACAACTTTGCTTTCTATTTTGAATGTTTTGTTTATTATAATTAGGACAGTATTTGCTAAATCTATTGTTTGATTCATTATTTTCTACATATGTAACGTTGGTTGAATTAATTTTTCTTTGCATAATAGACCAAGGATCTCTGAAAGTATATAATTTTTTCTTGATTCAGGTGAAAGTTCAAAGTTCTTCGTATTGTCGTTCATTAAAAAAGATATATACCCAAGGGTTATTTATATGTTGTACTTTATTACTGGTTCCATATTGAATGCAACAAAACTGATAACGATACAAAAAAATAGCTTTATTAAATCCATGATCAAGGTAGTTCTTTTGCCCTTTTTGCTCATTATCAAAGCAGTAGATAATAATCCATTTGGCAAAGTTTCTTCCACATTTGATAATTATTCCTAGAGGCCTGTATAGGCCATTATAATAATCAAATCTGTGTCCAACCCGAACTCACATCAAATCATAATTTCTAAATCCTATTTTTTTCATTATACATTATATATATTTATCAGATAATATAACATTTAACATATTATTATATTATACCAAGATTATAATAGAATATTAAAAAATAAAGCACACCTCGCAACACAAGTATGCTGTCTATTGTTTGTGGATTTAAAGAAGTTGATTGATAGTTAATCCTGTTGCACTGTTTTTCTCTCGCTTGATGCACTAAAAGATGGAATTGAAAGATAGTAAGTGTTTAATATTGCAAGCTTTGGATATTGGTGTTGATTATCATTCCATCATTCTAATATAACCAAATCCATATCCTTTTGTATTTCAATAATAAACACCGACCAATCTCACCTATATTATTTTCATCTTCGTAATATTGACTAATAAATAATTATTTACAAAAAATATCATTGTATGATACAATTTTTTACACTGTGTAAATGTTGAGTGTAAGTATCAACCCGCAACGCGGTCCAGTCCGGGTTGGGTCACATTGCAGGCCTCTAATTCTTCTAGACATTTTTTGAAAGTAAAAATAACTTCCATCAGATGTAATATGATTATCAATATTTATAACTGTTTTTGATCTTGTTAAGGAATATTTTATCGCTGATGCTACAAGATTAATTCCTGAGACATATCTTCCATGACGTGTTCCATATATTGCATTAACCACCACTACATGTTTAAAAGTTTTTTATCTTCATGTTGATTTTGATTTTACTTTCATTGAATATAAGTGTTTCTATAAGCTTTACAATAACTAGATTTCGTTTTAGAAAGACATAACTAAATCAAACCTGATCATTCATTAAATTAATGATATCATCATATAAGTTGTTTTGTTCATGCTTAGCAATTTCAATAATTAATTCTACTCTTGATTATTGATCATTGAGTGGTGCACTTATTTTTTCTTTTAGTTTATAATAATTTGCATTTTGCATTTCTAAATCTTTTATTCTTCGTTCATTTACGCTTATGATATTAACATTGATTCTTTTGGTTTTTGCTAATTCCAAAAAAAGATCTTCTCGTGTGACATGTCCTGCAAATCAATGGTCCTGAAAATTTTCGAGTGAAAAAATTTCGAGCCTTTTCTGAAACATCTTATTTTTTTATATACAAGTGTAACCAATCAATTCAATTAATGAATTTTTTTTTTTTAAAAAAATGTTTCCTTTTTAAATAACAATAATAAAATTAACAAAAGAGAGAGGTCATGTCACAAAGGGTCAATACACACAGCATAAGCCACTAGCAAGAGTTCCACTCTCTCATTTGCTGAACTTTAATAACACATTTAAGTAAGTCACATGGCTTCGCCATTGCATGTCTTACCCCAAGATAGCCTTATATGCCAACTTTTTTCAAGTTGTGCAAAAATGGGAATACATTTCATTGGATAAATTCTATTCATAATTTTTTATTGTGCAATCCTGTGTATTCAATAGAAAAGTAGAGTGGTTATGAGTTTGTGGAAGTTGTGGAAGTAACTGTTAAAGACAAGATTTATGAAACTTCCAAAGCAAGTTGTAAAATATACTGATGAATGTTTATCAATTATTCAATAGTTTGTATAGGTATGATCAAAGTAAATATTAAAGACAAGATCTATGATGCTTGGAAAATCCAAACAAATGTTTATCAATATGTATATAGGCAGGTTTGATTGAGTCAAGATCTATGAAACTTGCAAATTAAGTTTTGCAAAATGAATGTTTATTCAATAATTATATAGGTGGGTTTAAGGTTGTGGGCGAAACCTCCTTAGTAATTGCTGAAACCATGGTAAAACTATATTAAATCTTATCAAAAATCCTGTTGAAACTATGCCAAAATGGCAAAACCTCAAAATGCAAAACTCTGCCGAAACTCTAATAAACAATTAATGTGTAACCTGCCAAAACCCTGCTGATTGATTTCTGGAGGAGTTTTGGCAAGCAACCTTAGGTGGGTTTGATGGAAGTAAGTGTTAAGTCAAGATCTATGAAGCTTGCAAACTAAGTTTTACAAAATGAACATTTTATCAATTATTCAATAATTATATAGGTGGGTTTTGATCAAAGTATTAGATAAGATCTATGAGGCTTGCAAACTAAGTTTTGCAGAATGAACATTTATCAATTATTCAATAGTTTGTATAGGCATGATTGAGGCAAATGTTAAAGACAAAATCTATTTATACATTTTATTTATTATTTATTTATATAATTAATAATCATCAATATAAAACAATCATTAATACACAGTGAATCTCAGTTTAATGGATGAAGTTCAAGAATGGTTCCATAATATTAATAAAAACCTTTTCAATATAATGGATTTTTCCTTAATAATAATTGACCAAACCATCTATTAAACCAAGATCACTGCATATATGAAGTGACTGATGAGATTTTCTAGAATTGATTTCTATATTTGGAAATTGAAACAATCAATTCTGTTCATTTGTTAATTTTTAGATTGTGAGTAGCTTTTTGGTCAATTTTGATTGTTTTAGATTTATGGCCAAGTTTGAGTTAACTTTTTAGCTACACTCATTGATTAATTGCAAGCCTTTATATTGAATGCTCATCAATTATTTTATTTTACAAATTTAATTTAACAAACATCTTTCTTTCTTGTATCTAGAAAACTTTGCAAATCTGTGAGCACATATAATAAATTAATAATAAAAATGTTAAATGTGAAATAATAGAGGGGCTAGATCACATGTCCAAAACATGGTTGGATGGCACTTTGATAAATGCACCTTATTTATCACAATATAAATTTTTAAAATTTATTTTTCAATTCCTTCAGGAAGACTTTTTTCTGATGCAGGACAACAAATTACTTTGTATGAACAGACTTGGTTCTTAGTCTGTAAACAAAAAATTGTTAATAATCTTTTACTCATTAAAGAAGGAATTGCCAAATATTTTACAATGAATTGTTGTTGAGACTCTGAATGAATCAATGAAAGTTGAACAGAATTGATTTGAATCACTGAATTTCTGATTTGTTCCATTTGAGTCAAATATGAATCAAATACAAATTGTGCTTTGATTCAATTCAATTCAAATTGATTCAAACCAATAAATAATTTGATATTTATTGTTTAAATTTAAAACATTGAATTGTGCAACTGTAAATTGCATTACTTGTTATCATTATTAATATTAATACAGTATGTAGAGTTTCCATTTGTAATACAAATTCTTATTCGAATTATTCAAATAAACATTCAATGTATTTTGAATACTCAAATTCATAAAGAATAAAACAAATAATTTAAATAAACCCTATTTGAATAGAAACCTGTTAATACAACATTAAAAGAAATTTAGGAATCTGGTTTGATTAAATCAAGTCACAAGTTGAATTAAATTGAGTATATAATGAATCAAATCAAGTCAAATCACTTTAAATTACAACTCAAATCAAATTGTTTGGAACCTTAATTGTTGTTGCTAATTATGCTTAGAATGATATACAATTAATTTTTTTTAATAATCAATTACAATCAACTATAACTTTGCCAATCACTTTTAATCATGCAATCAATTTTACAATCAATTGCAGAAAAATTGATTCTTATACAATCCTAAATTAAATTTAAAAATTATGAGATGATTAAAGGTGAATGCTATCAAGGCTATCATTCAAAATCATGCCAGAACTCATGATTTTGAATAATTGGAAGTGACGATTGGCCCAGCAACATGTGCAACCAAGGATCAAAAATTGCTTATCTGATTGTTTTTTTAGAATTGATAAAATCAGCAGCATGTGAAATATAAAAAAATTCGTATTCAAAATGCAGGTTTTAAATATTCATGTATCATGACAATTCTACAATTCTCTTATAAGATCTATAACTTGTTTTCTTCATATAGCATCTTTCTTTCAATATAACATTTTTAGAAATGTATTAAAAACAGTACTTAGTGTTTGGAAAAATCAAGGTGGTGGCAAAACAAGCTCTGATATTTTATTAGTACAGCTAAATCTATATATAAATTTTGAGGAACCATTAAATGGAATCTATTTAGATGGTATTAATACTCCTATAAATTAGTGGATCTCTCTAGAGCTTAAAAAAGCGAGGATTGCATTATAACACTTGCTTTAAAATTACATTCCATTGTTCCTCATAATGGAACATGTGAAAGAGTGTTTTCAGTATTAGGATGGTACTCAGGAAAAAGAAGAAAAAGGTGAATGAATAAAGTTCATTTGAAGAACATTTTAACCAAATTGCTTTATCAATGATATTTTTGGATGATAATCTTCAAGATGTAATGATAATTGTGACGAGGTTATAAATTTGGATGGTGTTAATGATAGCTATTTAATCATTATTACTGAAATCATTGGTTTGAATTCAAGTTTAGGTAGGTTATTGACTAATAATAACATTTATCAAGTGAAATTTATGAAAAAAAATGATATTAATCATGGAGATGCAAATTTTGACATTGGTGGATTGTTAGATAATCATGATTTGGATCAATGATTGTTTTCCATTGTAATTACAGAATTATTTCTCTTTTAATTGTTTTATGATATGTTTAATAATTTTTTGTGATGGAGCGAGATGGGATGGGATTATAGTAATTCACTGTAATTCCATAGTTAGTTTTTCATAGTCGTCGTAATTTCCTTAACTTTAATAGTTGCCAAGGTTATTTTCGTAGTAGGTTGCATATTAATATATAGTTCATTCATATAAAGAATATTGAGAATCTGTGATCATTGCCGTAATCAAGTTTCCTCCAAAAACAATTATGGGCAACTATAGATGGACAAGTATATCATGAAATTAATGGTATTTATTAGTAAATATAAATAAAACATGTACACCGTTAGTTAATGTTTTCATACTTGTAAAAAATTTTCGGCTTCTAAAGCTTCAAAAAAATACCTTGTTGAAAATTCAACTGCGGACTGGTACGAATCTGCAAAGTTCTATTTAATATTAATGCGTGATTCTGTGTATTAAAACATTGCAAACTTCTTGGAATATTAATAAAAATAATGAATATAAAATAAAATTTTGTTTTTCGAATTGCAATGTTGTTGGAGAAATATATAATAAAAATTGATTTAACAATTTAGGATGGTCAACATTCAACGTAGTTGGATATGAGTTCTTTATTATCAAAGTTTTCTTCACCATCCCATGCATTTTTCCTTTTTGCATTGGATGGTAATTAAAAACTCCTCTGCTTCAACAATTTAATCAATACGAAGCAGAATGCACATGATTATGAACGCATATGTTTTTTTTTCAGTAACATTTCTTTACCCAAATTCCCCCAAAATGTAGATTTCCATCTAATATTAACATGTTCACATCATTTTTAATAATATCAAATATTCATATGAAAGATTTTTGTTAAAGGTTGTATTAAAAATATGGGTCCAATATTATATGTATTAACAAACATATGAGCCACATTTATTTTCATTATTTTGCCATCATTTCAAATAGTAAAAATTCAACCCTCATGAAACGATCTATAAGCTTCAAACTAAAGACACACGTTATTGAGTTATCATTAAATGAAAATATGAAGAAATTTTTTTATATTAACTAAGAAAAACCTTAATTATTACTAAAAAATTAAAAATTAAAAAAGGGTTCCATATTTTTATTTAATGATAATTCAATAACGTGTGTCTTTGGTTTGAAGCTTATAAATTGTTGCCTTCGAAAGTTATGAGGGTTTGAATATTACGTGTTTTTACTATAGTGCAGATTATCTAAAAACATCAAAAAAGGCTTTTTTTACTAATAAACTTTTTCGTTTTTGCAATCTTTATGAAATGGAGAGAGTTTTTCAATTTTATTAATAAAAAAAAAAGCCTTGTGTAAATTTAATTTTACATCGTGACCATCCTTTAATGCCATTAACATGAAGTTACCTATACTTTATATGTAATTAGTTGCAATATTCTTTATAATCCAGTTTTGCTTTGAGATAAAGAAAATAATATATAAAAACAAATATTAAAAAAAAGGTGACAAAATCCTGCTTATCATATTCTTTTGTTTTCCTTCGAGGATTCTATCAGGGTTAGCCGCGTAACCTAAATAAGCATTTGGCTAAACTGACAGACTAAACTATTTAGTCATCATATTAATATTAATATTAAGTCAAGTTTAGTCAATAAAATTATTGCCAAATTAGGATTTAACCCCTTTGCGCAGCCGGCCCTTTTACCTGGTTATCATTCACTCACTATCATAATTGTTTTAATTTATCTTTCATTTGTAGAATTTTCTTATTTATTGACAAACAAAAGTAAAATATAATTGTCATTATAAATAACATGTGATATCTAAATATAGTTGAATCCCAATGGAAACGCAGATTGGGGGCGTGACCGATTCATTCATAAACCAGGCGAATTACCGATCACATAGCCACACGTTTTAATTTTGATCATATTAATGTCCTCATTTTACATAATACTTCAATATGTAGAGTAATCGCGGTATTTAAGATAATCATCTTCGATTCTTTTTTACCACCTATTAACACATAAACATTAGTATGTAAAAATGATTGGTAAAAACCTCATTGTGCCGATTTTCTCGGAAATTATATCCAAAACTTTATGAGAATCAACATTGCTAAGTAAATTCATAATCTTAGCTAATTTCGCCATTATAGTGGTAAATTTTTCACTTGTGATATTTCAATTAATACATCTTTGATATTGTACATACTCACACATGTATTGTTCAGATATATAAAATTAATATTAATTTCAATAGTTTTTTTTTGTGGTGTAATTACACCTTGAAATTTTGTTATCATCATTCTACACTTTCGATTTTGCTACGATATCAATGATCTCTTTGTAAATAAATAAAAATTTATCTCATATGAAATTATTTGGTATTGAGCGCGATAATTTTGGTAATTTATTTTGTGGAGAATTCATATATTATATAGTAGAAAGAGAGCTCTTAATAATAATAATAATAATAATAATAATAATAATAATAATAATAATAATAATAAAACAAGGAGTGTGAAAATAAAAAAAGAAATCGAAATAAATATATGCGAATAAAATTCAAAATTCGATTATCATATTTCACGCGGAAAAACGGTCAATTATTATCAACCATTTTTTTCTAATATGGCTATTGGAAGTTCCATATTAATTAATTACTAGATTGTATTTTTTTCATAGTTTCAATAAAATTAATAATAAATTTCCTTAATTGAATTCTCCCCGCAAATTATTTGGGAAAATTATTTTCCAAAAAAAAAATAATCGAATCCATTTTTAGCAATAACAATGGATCGACAAATGGAGGATTTATTAATAGATTTTCATTAATTTTCTTCTTTTTTGATTGTAAAAAATAATGATCATCGTGCAGATGCATACATTACATATGATTTATTAAAAATTATTTAGCGATCTGGAAATGAAATTAAGGAGATGGGTGTTTGTTTATTATATATATATGATTATAGTCATGCACTTGAGACATAGTAAACTGATGGCTTTTCTCCAAAGAGTGACTGTACATAGGCTTTTTTATCGACAACTGTTGTTTTCAAAGGCGTGACTATAGAGATTTTTATAAAGGGTGACTTTACGGTGTGTGACTTTAGAGAGGTCTGACTGTGTATAAATATGAAAGAATTTAATTTTATGATTCTCAATTCATTATTAAAATAATCCTGAAACCATTTAAAATTTAAACTCAATTATTTATATTTATTAACGATGGTTTTTTATAAAAATCTAAACAATTCTTTAAAAACTAAACACAATAATAAAAGGTATCAAAATAATCACAACAACAACAACAACAACAACAACAACAACAACGATAACGACAACAACAAAAACAAAAACAACAACGACAACAACAACAATACCAAGAATAACGACGGTAATAGTATCAAGAATGAGAATAATCATACATCACCAAGATATTATGATATAAAAATTGGCGAAAAGAGTTTTTTCCTTTCCTCAGAATCCTTAAACAATGATGCACCAAATTTCTTTACTGCAGCATTTTTCGGTTATTTTCAAGAATCAAACACTTCAAAAATTTTTATTGAACGTGACCCAACCTATTTTGATATGATTGTGAGGTATTTACGTGGTTATGAGGTGGATTGGCCATTTCATGATAAGACTGAAATGAAAAATTTATTAGCAGATGTTAGATTTTACGGGTTTGGAAATTTACAAATAATTTTGGAAGAGGTGTTCGAACAAAATTTTCCCAAGGTCGTTATACCTTGGAAAATTATAACTTACGCTCCTGAGAATGAACCAGTCTTGGCAATAAATATTAAAGATGTTGAGTTGAGAAGATGGGATGGAAAAATTTTGATTTATGATACGAATCCAATATTAAAGAAGAAAATTAATATCAGTGAAAATACATTAACTGATAATAATGTAACAGACAATAACAATAATGTCAATGTTGATGACAATAATACGGATACTGAAGATGATAATAGCACGGATAGTGAAAATGATAATAATGTTAATCATCAAGTAATTCAAATAGAATCAAATGTCGAGAGAGGCCTTTACAAATTGGAGATACATGGTAAGGATGCATTTGCCACAGTCACTTCAAAATGGAGTAATGGAATAAAATTTGAAAATTTTGCATTCAAAAACGCCGACGAAGAACGAACCTTTAAAGTTTTAACTGAATCTTTTAGAATAAATAATAATAACACTCATAATACTGATAACAATACCAACCCTAATGATAACGCTCATATTGATGACGTTAGTTCATTAACTTTATCGCCGTCGCTTAAATTACCGTTTTTAAAAGATGCTTGCATCGAAATTGATAATCAAAAATATCATAGTTATAACGATTTATCTGCTTATTTTGGAACAACTAAAGGTAAACCATTATATTTCGAAGAGTTGGTTATTAGAATTGACAGACGTGTGTATTTAATGAGGGCAAAAGCCTGGACTGCTCCTTCCTATTACGCTTCTCGACCTTTCATTCAACCTGTAAACTGTAAACAAAATTCATATTAATAAATTTATTAAACAATATTGTTTATACAGGATATAATCATATTTTTTTTTGTAATTTATTAAAAGAATTTTTTTTTTTTTTTTGTATATTTAATATGTATAATACAATTTTTAATTATAATAATAATAATAATAATAATACTAATAATACTAATAATAATAATAATCATAATCATAATAAACAAAGAATAAAACGACTCGTTCGGGGCCTTATTCCAATGCAAAGTGCAACCAAGACGACATAGTACATGTGGTTAAAGGCTCTTTAACAAAAGCATAACTTCACACTCGTTGCCAACAATGAATTCAAATGCATAAAATAGTCTGTTTCAGAGAAGCACTAATTATGTTCATTCGTATTCGAGGAAATAATATGACTATTAAAAAAAGAAATAATTATATCAATATTATTATCATATAGCGCAAGACATACAGTATATACAATACTGATGGTATGCTAAAGCTAAAAATTAAGAACCAACTGGGTTATTGCCCCCCTGTTTAAATCAACATTTATTATGGATGCCTTTATTCAAAACATAATGTCATATTATTAATAATAGATCTAAATATAATAAAACGTAAAATAATTCTATTCTTTATTATTTTGGCAGTAAATTTCCAATGCATGAATAACCTATTTTTATTATTTAATAAAAAGGTACTGACTTTTATATTATTTAAATAATATGATTCTTTAATTAATGGTCGCAATGGTGGAGGGTGGTAAATGAATTAGGAAATAGCTTAATATGCTTTCTTTTGATTTTAAAATAAAGAATCAAATTGTTTAAAGGCAAATTTTTTAGTAACAAATGCAAAACACCTTTCTCTGCAGTTTATAAGTATAACCATTGTAGAATTTGCTATGAACTTTTTTTGTATTTTTTTGGTCATTGCTCCAAGATTTTTCGAAATTATTGGCAAATAAGACATCGCCTCGCATCTCTAGTTTTATATTGATTATCTATAAAACATGGATTTTCTTGCGCACTAAAAAAGTAATATTTTCTCATTTTTATTGGACAAGGTAATAGATATAATTATTATTAATAATTATATAGGTTTAATTATCAAAAAGTTTGTTCTTTCAATTAGAAACCATTTTTAGGTTTATTGAATTGTTCGTTCAGCTAACACAAAACTCGCCAGAACAATCAACTTGCAGAAAATGTGTGGATCAACGAACATAAATTGATTACCAAAAAATTTATAACTAATCCTTAAAAAAACTTATAATAATGATGGATTTATATATAGATTTATATAATGTAAATTTGAAATAAAAAAATAGTTAATACTGGAATCTTAAGTTTTTACTGTTACTATAAGAATTGACCAATTGTGTAACATCTAGTTGTCTCATAATTAAAATATAGCATGGAAAAACTTCAAGAAATAATAAATATTCTTCAGGCTAATAATCTTTGTAATAAAGTTTTAAAGAAATCGTCAGTTTCAGGGGGTTGCATCAACAGTGCTTTTAAATTATCAACAGATTCTGGTGATTTTTTTGTTAAGGTATGAAGGGAATTATTACATTATTTTTCTATTATTATAAAAAACGGAATAGACAAAAATATTTAATATTTTTATTTTTTGTTATCAAGACAAATAATTCTCTGGATTATGACACATTAGTAATGTTTAAGGGTTTGTAGTATCAATTAATAAAATTGCTATTAATAGTATTTTGTTTTTTGAAATAATTTGCTCATGATTATTTGATAAATTTAAGGTGAAATGGTTGCTTTGAACACGATATCATCATCTGTTCCTGATTTTGCTCCTAAAGCTTTACATGCTGCAAGTTTTAAAGATGGCGGTGCATTTTTGGTGACTACATTCATAAATCTTAAATCATCATCATCAAGCAAACATGATGTTCTATTTGCAAAGAAATTAGCATTATTACATTCGACCAATTCACCGGATAATAGATTTGGATTTCCTGTGGTGACAATGTGTGGAGCTACTGAACAAGACAATACTTGGGAAAGCGATTGGGAAACATTCTATAAAGAAAGAAGATTAAAATTCATCATTGACAAATGTTTGAAAAAATATCCTTCAAATAAGGAACTTAAAGAATTGGGCAAAGTTGTGGTGGATAAGGTGGTCCATCATTTGCTTAAAGATATAGAAGTGAAAAGTTCATTGATTCACGGTGATCTTTGGTCAGGTAATTGGGGTATTGATTCTGACACCAACGAGCCAGTAATTTATGATCCAGCTGCTTACTATGCTCATAACGAAATGGAATTAAGTATCTTGACTATGTTTGGAAGTCCAAGTAAAGGTACGCATAAAAGTGTTTATTCATATAGATTAGTGTGAATTTACGCACATGTATAGATGCTGAAAAATAATTTTATACAAATAAAAGAATTTTTCGATGAATATCACAAACATCACCCAAGACAAAAACCATTCTTTAAGGAAAGACAAGGTATTTAAAGCATCTATAAAATTGTTGTTTTGACCAAAGATTAATTAATTATTATTTTCTTTTTCCTTTCTCCTTTCCTCCCTTCCTCCTTTCCTCCCTTCTTCATATTCCAAGAATTATATCAATTGTATCATTATTTGAATCATTATTATTTATTCAACGGTGGTTATGGCGGAATCTCCATCTCTATTATGAGAAGACTTTGCGATCTTGTGAAATAGTGAAATAGTAATAGTAATAGTATATTTGCTATTCAAGGGTTACTATGACGTCATGATTAATATTAATATATATTAACGTCATAATAACTGTATCACATTTGTCAAAGCATTTACCCTAGTACTAAAAAAGGCAATATATGTATGTTGAATGACATGATTTTTTAATAATTCGAGTGATTTGCATAAATATCAATAAAAAGGTTTTTTTTTGGATTTTTTTTTTCAATTTTTTCGATTTTATTAAAAATTAACTTTTTAATAAAGTAAAAAAAATTTAATTTAAAACTACTTTTTTTATAAAAATTTTGCAAATAAAAATGACTCAAAGTTTACGTAAAAAAGCAGCTGTTCGTGCATCTAGACGTAACAGCAGTAATCCTCAGCCATTGTCATTAATTAAAAATGAAACGCCTTCAAGCAGTCGTTATAATTCAGATGAAGATGAAGTCTGGAGTGAAACTTCCGGAGATTCTGCAGATTCTTGGAACTCTTTTCAAAGTCAAGAAAATGCTATAGGAGAAAGTGTTAATCGAGAAACCGAACTATTTGAAAGTATTGATGAGTTGGAGGAAAAAAGAACTAGGTAAAATTTTTCTTCCTTCCCACAAAAAAACTAATTAATTAGCATTGTTAATAATAATAATTATTATTATTTTATAGCGTTAGAGAAGCAGGTTTGACAAAGTTGATCCGTTTGCTTTCGCAAAAATATGTCGCTGATCTTCTTGATTCCAGAAGAGATACCATTTTTACCTTGTTAATGCGATCTATCAAAAAAGATAAAAGCTATAATGAAAACAAATTAGCTGCCAAAGGTTTTTTATTAATTTAATCATTCCTGAATTTAAAAATTCGATTAAAAAATTTTAAATTGATGTTTATGATTTTATCTTTAGTTATGTCGTTGTTTTTTATCACGCTTGGTGATGGACAAGAATCATTGTATCAAGAAATTTTGACTTTATTCAAGTATAATATTATTAATACCGCCTCTTTGGAAGTCAAAAGTGCTGTAAGTCACTTTTTTTCAAAAATTAGTATTTATTACATGCATATTTATTTATTTTGAAAAGTTTTCTTTTTTTTATATATATATATAGTATATTAAAGCTCTTGGAATGGCCTGTTTTATTGCTGGATCAGCCGCTGATGCCATAGAGTTGCTTGATTTCTTTGCAAATATATTTCATACAGATGGGAAAAGCGTTAATGCCATTAATAATGGAATGGTTATAGCAGATGCTTTGAATTCTTATGGACTGCTTTATGCTGGTTTGTGGGGAAGTCAAAAGGGAACAGATAAAGCCAAAAAAGAGTTTGATCGTCTTATGCCTATTCACCTTAAGCATTTAAAATCTGATACTATGGAAGTTCGTGTTGCCAGTGGTGAAAATATTGCGTTGATGTTTGAAATTTTAGGCATTGGACGTAAAAGAGATGCATCGGAAGAATGGGAGCAATTACAACATCCTGAAAAGGTTAGATAATAAATTATTAGTATAAATATTGTTAATCCATTAATCCATCAATTCATTTATTAACAATTTATTTATTTTTACATAGTATGAAGAAATCGACGAAGTTGAATACGATGATAAGGAACATTTAATCGAATTGTTAAGCGCCTTGGCAAAAGATAGTAATAGACATAGAGCTAAATCTCAACGTAAAGTTCAAAGATCAGCATTTCGAGATATTTTGAGGACTGTTGAGGTTAGGAGGAGCATTCATAATTTTCGATATTCTTTATTTTACATTTTACATATAATTCATTCATATTAAGATTTTTTTTATTCTGTTAATTCTTTTTTCAAGGAAGGTGATCATATCGAGGAAAAGATTAAAATTAAGAAACAAACCATTCACTTTTCATCATGGGCAAAAGTGGCTCAGTTGAAAGCTTTCCGTGATGTTTTAGCTGAAGGGCTACATATCCATTTTCAGGAAAATGAATTGATCCAGGATATTTTTGAGTTTGAACCAACTCTTTCTTTGACGAATGCTGATAGGGTGTCAAGACCCTGCTCTGCAATGAGTTCTTATTCTGTTCCTTCTGATGCAGAATTGTCAGTTCTGGACAAAAAAGCTAGAGGAAAACGGATCAGAGCGAGAAAAAAAAGTAATAGGCGTAATGATTTGTTAATTGAAGTTGGATGATCCTAACTTCTTTTCTTTCTTTTATTTTTATTATATTTTATATATTTATACACATATATATATACATACATATATATATGTGTATATATAAAAATAAAAAATTCTTTTTTGAAACAGAACTATACACAGTATGTCCATTTTAAGGATAATACAGTAGTAGCAACTACTGTGAACTTTCTCGCCATATTTGGATCATTATTATTATCATTGATAATGTAAATGATCTCATGCTTAGAGAAGAATATCTTCTCATAAAAAATATGAAAACACAAAAAATTGCTAATTAATTATAATTTTTTATTTATTTATTTATATCTTGCTTAAATTATTATTTTCTAATATAAATTTTTTTATAATGTAATATACAAATACAAATATATATATTGTGATTATATTATAATAAAAACAATTATCAAGTTTCATATTATTATTATATTATACATCCATTTTTCCAAATCATTTTTTTTAAACCGCTCTTTTTTTGATTATAAATTATATACACATTTAGTGAGTTAGCAGAATAGTTGGGTGATTATGAATTTTATCATTAAATACTAACTAGTTGATTGATTAATATTTATTTGTTTGAGGAGATTTCGAGATACGTGGCATTTTGTTAGCACGTGAGGCTAATGAGAACTTATTCATACTTTGTAGAACAGATGATGACGATGATGATAATGTTTTTGTCCCATGATATGAATGGGATGGTGTGGTTGGAGTTGAAAATGTTGTTGGTGAGGCAAATCCAACATCATAAGTATCAAGACCAGTTGATTTTTTCCTTTTATAATTATAATAATTATTATTGGGAGGTTTTTTTTATATAGTATGGAAAGGGGTTTGTGAAAAAAAAAAGAATAAAATATTATATTTTTATATATGTTTTCACCTGTGTAAAAAAATATATTATTATTTTTTTTTTTAATAAAAAATAATTTTATAAAAATGAAAAAAATCGGGTTTTTTCCTTTATCCAAAAAAAAAAAAAAAAAAAAAAAAAACCAAAAAAAGGGTTTAAAAAAAAGCAATTAATTAATAACTCACGATCCAACAGGTCGGCCTCTTTTTCGTTTTTTCTGAGTACCAATACATTGATCACAATACCATCTTCCTTCTGGTACTGCTTTAAGATTGACACATTCCAAATGATACCATTCAATTGGGCAATTCTAAAATAAAAGAATAAATAAAAATTACATCTACCAAAGAAAATAAAAAATAAGTAACGTATTTTTCCTACATACTTCACCATCACATGCAATCATTTCGCCAAAACTAACTTGCCGACAGGTACAATATAAAGGTTCATTAGGGTCAGATTGTATAAAATTTGACGAGAATGCTATTCCATCAGTTGAAATAAACGGGGAATCATATGCTTGTGAATTTAAATTTAAATTATTGGTATTACCAAGACCAATGTTTCTATCAGAAGAAATTGATGTCGAATTTAAATGATTAATGTTATTGTTATTATTAGGATCACCAGAGTATCGGATTTTAATGCTTCGGGGAAAGTTGTTGTTGTTATTGGAAGCGGTGCTGGTGGTATTATTTGAATCACCATTACTAGCGTAAATCGAGGCGCTGTTTTGGCTATTTGCAAATCCAATAAAAAGAGATTTAATAAGTAAATATTTTTAAAAAATAACATTTAACAAATTTTTTAAAATCACAAACTTTTGTTGTCTTCGACGCCTTAGAGAATTTTGATTTGAAGACATTGATATATTTCTTCGTGTCAGTGAATCTAATAATATTAAACAAAGATTAACAATAGAACAATGGAATAAAATAATATATCATAAACTTATAATACCTCTGCCGATTCGTGATGTAGAATTCGAAGGATTTGGCAATAATGGTAATGCTGTGTTATTATTATTATGATTATTAATTAATAAATAAATCAATTACTTTTTTATAATAATAAAACCAAAATGATAATTGATTACATACTAAATTGACCTTCTTCTGTTTCCATACTTGTAGAAGGATAAAGTATATTCTTATTATATTCATAGGTGGAGTTGGATATTGATGACGATGACGAGAGTGGTGATGTTGGTGGCGGTGGTGAAGTGCTTGTATTAGATTGAAGGATTGATCTGTTATTTGCTTGTGAATTTACTATGTTTGCATGCTGAGTAATTATTTGTAGTGACTTAATAGGTGATTCTAATCTACCAGGACTTGTTGGAATTGTTGTTGAGGAATCACGAAGATTTTGATGAGGAAATAGACTATCAAAATCTTCATCAAGACGTTTAATATGCCTTTCAACCTATAAAAATAATAATAATGATCATTATTTTTTGTTGTTGTTCCTGATCTAATTATGAAATAATATTTGTTCAAGAAACAAAAAAAAGGAACTTACTAATGCTAAAGCTTTACCAGAGATTTCTATTTTTTCATCTTGCAGTAGTGCTATTCTATCTAAATCTTTTGAAATCTTTTCCTTCAACATTTCCTCGTCCTCGAACTCAGTTATAACTCTAGTAATACGATGTTTTTTCCTTTTTGATGAGATTAGTTCGATATCATTATCATCATCATAACAATCGTCTTCGCTATCATCATCATCGATCTCATCACCATCACCTTGTTCTTCGTATATGCTCTCAACAACAGAGCAATCACTATCCTCTTCAAATGGTACTCCGTCATATAAGCACCATAACCTTTTTTTACGTCGTTCAATCCTTCTCGTTAAATCTTTATTTTAAAAAAATGGAAAATAGTAATTAATCAAAAGTTTTTTTGATGTATTTATAAACTATAATTTATCAAAGGTTAAAATTTCAACTTTACCATCAATCTCTCGTTCTTTATTTGACAACTCGGTAAAATGATAATTGATTTCTGATGGAAGATTATCAATACCTTTTAATTTATTTGATGCAAGTATAATTATATAAAATTAAATAAACTAAATAATAAACACTTGTATATAAATAAAAACGAGCGATCAATCTATCAAAAAAGACTATATATATACTGACTTCCTAAGAATTGAATCAAGTACTCGTTCGCATCTATTGTTTCCATATTCAATGATTTCAATGATTTCGTAATAATGTTTTCTATATATTTGAGTGACAAATAATATTATGTCATACAATATTTACTGTTACCATATATTATATTAATTCAATTCGAGAAAATGGAAAGATCTTCGTGCGAGATCATATCAAATACAAAGTGGCTAGATCGAGATAATTATTTATTTTGAAACTGGATTAGTAAAGGAATTTCAAATACTAACACTATTTAACCAAACCGTGCTTTAGTGCTTCAAGTAAACAGTTGATTTGCGTATAAACTTAGTTTATGGAGTTTGAAAACTCACCAATTCACTCACCTTCAGGTAAAAAGTAAATATTAAAGAAATGTTTTCATCAATAATATCAAAATACTTACTTTGGATATTGAACTTTCTTATGAGTCGTTAATTGGAATTGTCCTTGGCTTTTTACTACATATAAAACTTATAATAACCAGCCTACACGATACGAATCAAAACAATTAATAAGATGGGGCCTAATAAAAAATCGCGTTAACCAAGCAAGCCAGTTGGTGAAAAAAAAATACTCGCAATAAATTGAAAATCTATGGAAGGATAAAAAGGATGAATTGAACCCGAACTTTTCAATGGTAGCTGAAATCCGCAAGTTATGTAAAAAATTTTGTGTGATAGTGACGAAAAAGGAAAGTGTCAGTCGTAAAACCGGTTTATTTATGTCATACCAATACTGCAGCTTGGTTATTATCTTTATCATTTTATTATTTTATTGCAAATATTTTAAAAAGAATAAATGGATTCAACAATTTTGGAAAAATATTTTAACGAAAATGAAAGACTATTAAATACAGAAGATTTTTATGATGTAAAAATATATCTTGGTGTAGAACCAAACATTAAAGAAATTCATGCGCATACATCTATCATATGTGCACATTGTCCATTTTTTAGAAATGCATTAACTAATGCAACAAAGAAAAATGGGTATTATATTATTGAAAAAGCCAATATTAATGAAAAAATTTTCAACCCTATTCTCAAGTAAGTTTAAATTAAATTGTTATTATATTAAACTAATTAATTATTATTGTTGAATTTATAATAATAATATTTATTTATTTGAAAGATTTTTGTATACATGTAATATAGAATTAGACAATTATACTGGAGTTGATATTTTGCAAATATTAATTACAGCTGATGAACTTGGCCTTGAGTCACTCTACAATTATACAATGAACTACTTTATTGAAAAATGTGAGGATTATATAAAAGAAAATCCAGTTAAAATTCTACAATCAGTTTATTCTAATACTAATGAACAATTTATGGAATTGAAAAGTATCTTCCTAGAAAAATTTTGTGATTTCAGTGAAAAATTATTTGAATCAAATGAATTTGAATCATTAGAAAAACCAGCTTTATTGGAGATTTTTAAAAGGGATGATTTTTGTGTTGATGAAATAGTTATTTGGGAAAATATTCTTAAATGGGGATTAGCAAGACATCCAGAAATCAATAACAGTGAAATTAAAAATTGGTCACCACAAAATTTTGTTGATATGGAAAATACATTAAAAGAATTTATTCCTCTAATAAGATTTCAAGATATTCCTAAAAAGGATTTTTGTTCTAAAATTATTCCTTATCAGAAGCTTTTTCCAGAGTTATTTTGGAATGACCTTTTACATTATTATATAATTGATGTTAATCAGCAAACTTTAAATTTATTACCATCAAGAATTTCAAAAATTCAATCATTAACAATTAACCAAAAGCTTATTTTGCTTTTTGCAAGCTGGATTGATAAAAAAATCCCACAATATAATTCATTCAAAGATGTTAAATACGAATTTAAACTTATATATTGTGGTAGTAGAGATGGTTTAAATCATACTACATTTCATCAAAAATGTGATAATATCAATAAAACTCTTGTAGTTGGCAAAATACAAAATTCAGATCAATTAGT